TAATCTAATAAGAAGTGAGGGTACTCTATTGTTAACTTTCACTTTTTTCATCAATTTGTGAATATTGATATGTTTTTTCTCTATATAAACTTATGTTAACCATTAAATTTACATCAAACATAAGAAAAATCATATAATTATCATGAATAAAATATATAATCATACATGGACTACTATAAAGAGTAAATTTAATCGATAAAAAATGGCCATCAAAAACTCAAATTGGCGGAAAACTCTAATCCCCTAAAAATACCCAAATTATTACAAACTAACAAACTATAATCCAAATTTAGTACAACCTAACGAACTATAATGTTATATGCTGAAATTAAAATTGTTGGTTTAAATTTTATAATATAAATAATAAAAAATCTAAAATATTTTGTAATACGATCTAATTTAAAATGTATTATTGAGAACTGTAAGAAAGATAATAAATTACATGATTTATAATAGAAAAATTAATAAATAAAATAAAAATTTGGTTAAAAATTAATAGAATTTATACCAACTTTCGAAATAACACTTTAATTTTTCAAAACTGTAATTTTTTAGATTTCTAGAATAAATTTAGTAAAAGAGATTGTTAATAGAAAGAGAGAGATTTCAAATGGAATAAATTTCTTTTAAAAAAATAATTTTTTTATAATTATAAAATAAATTATAAATTATTATAAAATAATTATAAATTATAATTATAAAATAATTATAAATTATAATTATAAAATTTAGTAACAGATTATTCATAGAAAGAGAGAGATTTCAAAAAAAAAAAAATTAAAAAAAAAATTTATTTTCTGCTTATTTTTATTGTCAACAAAAATAAAATAAAATGTATCCAGGAGAAATCGAAACGTGAAAGTGATAACCACTCTGCCACATCAGCACCAGTGTAATTGTTTTGTACATTAATAATACTTATCCAAATTCCGTCATAATTTAATGCATCGTGGGAATTATCCCACATCCAACAGCGAGCTTTAGTTTCGCTTCTATAAATTGCTTTGTTAGTTCCTTAAGGTTTGTGCGTGTGTGCCCGAGGTTGCCATCCACACACGCTCGGTAGGTGACTATAGTCTTGCACATGTGAACTACCGAAAATCAGTATTTTGCGGGCGACTTTCACCCGTGTATGACGTCATACAAGCGGTTCACAACGCAGAACCGGCCGATTCGTTCCGAAAATCGATACTTTGCCTCATACGGGCAACTTTCACCCGTGTTTAAAGCCATACGGTTCCCGGTTTTACATTGGCCGGTTCCGAAAATCGGTATTTTGCCTCATGTGGGCGACTTTCTCCCGTGTATGACGTCATATGGTTCCCGGTTTTACACTGGCCGGTTCCGAAAATCGGTATTTTGCCTCATACGGGCGACTTTCAAAAGTGTATGATGTCATACGGTTCCCGATTTTACACTGGCCGGTTTCGAAAATCTGTATTTTGCCTCATACGGACGACTTTCACCCGTGTATGACATCATACAAGCAGTTCACTATGCAAAACCGGGTAGTTCCCGTGTATGACGTCATACAAGCGGTTCACTATGTATAACCGGCCGATTCATTCTAGAATCGGGCGCTTTCCGGTTTTACACTGGAATCGGCACGGGATAACCGATTCTCCGTATCGATTCGGGCGAATCCGTTACGACTCGCCGTAAATTACTGCTTAAAACATTGAATAAGGCACATGGCATTCAATTAAATAAGGAACCCATAGATAGAGAGATTGTAGGGTACGGAAATGATTTCAGTGCAGAAGCATCCCTGTTATCTACCTGTTATCTAGAGAGAGATCACACAATTGTAGGATACAAAATTTTATAAGGAACCAATTTAATAAAATTAATCAAACAATGTAACAAACAAATACATATCAATGAGAAGCAGATTGGCCACAACACTATACAATTACAATAGCTCTTCCACTACCAATGAACAACTTATTAGAACAAACCACAATCCCTCTTAAGAATGATTTGAATGTAAAGAATAAAAAGAATTAAACAAATACAATCTTAGTATCCGACACCAGTTGAAATTCCATCCATTGCTTTTGGCGCTTGCACCAGTCAATTGGGCACAGAGCACCTTGCCCTGATTTGCCCTGCTGATCCAGTAAGAGGTTCAATGTCCCCCATCTTCACCATAGCCGCCGCAAAATCGGAGTAGAAGGCACTTCGACTGTTACTATAAGACCTCACTATGTCATCAGTCGATCCACCATTAAACAACACCTGATCCGATTCCAACAAACCCTTTTTCTGCATCAAAATCTTGAAGTAGTTGTTGTCGAAGCTGGTGGGTGTAACAAGGTCAAGAGCTGCGAGGTTGGAGTCCCCTCCAGTTGAAGGGCAGTTACCACGTCTTTTGCGAGCAAAGCCGGCATCGATGTTGGTGTGGTTGTAAATTCTGTCTCTGAATGTGAAGCACTGGGCTTGGCCTATGGTGTGTGCACCGGAGAGAGCAACCATGTCTTTGGCACTGAGTCCCTTTCTGCCGAAGAGAGAGATGAGATCATCCAAGGGAGCAGTGAAGAGAGGGAGTTCTCTCTCTGCCTCGTCTTTGCTTGCAGTTGCAGAGTCTCTGCGCCCTAGATTCACTGTCCAGGATGGACCTCCCATCTGTAAAGAATTATTTCCTCATCAGTTATTAATTCTAATCTTGGTTTTTCATTTGAGAAATAGAAGGCTAAAATCCTTAAGTGTTGAGACACATGTTTGAAATTGAAATCATAATCGTAGAAGAAAAAAAATCAAAATTGTTGGGAAAAATCTGAACAACAGTGTGCATCTTACAAGTTGGTCCAAATGCCTCGAATGTTATGATCATATTTTGAACCCCTTAAATCTTATTTTAGATAGATGTTTTACCTCTTTGGTTGAAGACGTGTCATCAACTTTTTAAATTGGGAAGTAGGCATTTAGAAAAAAAACCAACAAGTTCTTTATTTTTTAAATTGACACCATAACACCATTTATCATTTGTACAATGAGCCCACAATATTTATAGTTGTTGGATGTGAAATCTTAGCTTGAAGCTTGTCACAAAGTAAAGTTCGAAAAGTTTCTCTTGAATTTTGAGCATAGCTAATAGGATACCTACAACTACCTAATTTTGCGTCTAATAGCCAAGATTGATTCTAACCGCCAAATAGTCTAATTGTATACTTTTCCTTTTCCTTTTGAAATTTATGAACCACACTCATGAACCATGATGAACCGGTCTGTTTGGATATGTTTACCGCTACAGAAGAGTCTCTTGCTGCAACTGCAAGGATGTCGGAGCAGGAGACCACGCCTGGGCATATGCTTTCCACTCTCGACTTTGCGTTTTCGATGACATGGAAGCCTCTAGCAGAGTTAATGTTCTGAATGGCATTCTGTTCGCTCTCGAAAGAGGAAGTCGAGTCCAACAGCAGCGATGCATCGCACCCCTGCATATAGATATGCACAGTTACATCTAAGATCACACACATTCATAAGATAGGCCAAGTTTGATAAATAGCTAAAAAGAATTCAGACTCATAGATGAATAGATAGATAGATGCGAACTGTTAAACAGAAAGATCAAGAACTCACATTGACAAAGCAATCATGGAAGTGGAGACGAATAAGGGAGGCTCCCATGCGCCTCTCTGCCGAAATCGCAGTGCGAATGGCAGTGCGGATGGTGGAGAGGGCGTTGGGGCAGGTCGAATCATAGAAGTTGGAGGTCAGCTGCTGCCCTTCACATACTAACAGCATGCTACTGCTAGTACATAGAAGTATCATCAATAATGTTGTTATGTAGGCACTAGAGATAGAGCCCATCTCTTTTTTCGATATAAATGGATAGAAAGAGAACGAGGAGTTCAAAAGAATCCTCTTAAAGAGTTTAAGAGGGAGAGGGGCCTGCAAGGTTATATGTAAGATGTAATTGTTTGGTCTCCAATGGATAAAAATGCTTAGAGAGAGATAGAGAGGCTAAGAATCACAGAGTGATAGATAGAGAGAGACCCAATTCGTCGTTGTTGTGTGTGATGAGAAGAGATGAAGAGACAGAGAGATGTATTTATAGACAGAGAGAGAGATCCTAACGCAGAGGTGCATTGGGGGACTTTTGAAAATGAAACATTCAACTTTTAGCGGCTCAATGCTTGGAGGTGCCCTCTCTCTCTCTCTCTCCTCTCTCTCTCTCTCTCTCTCTCTTCTCGTCGTCGTCGTCGTCGTACGTCGTACGTCGTACGTACGTACGTACGTACCGTACGTACCGTACGTA